GGTAAGTCAGTGTGATTGCATGACACTGGTGATGGGGATGCCATACAGATTCATGTCAAAAATACCGAACTATCCCTTTAACTAAGTTAAGTCAGTATGTAGAGAGATAGAAAAAACTCAGGCTTAATCTGAGTTAGTCAAACTAATTCAATTCAGTTTATTTATTCAGCACCAATTAACAACACGTCATCTCAAGGCAGTACAGATTATAGTCAGATTGGTTCAAGGTTTTCTATCTAAGGAAAACAAGTTGATTGCATCGCCTCATTGACTTGAAAACAATCCCTCAGACCAAGCATGCTTGTTGCGACAGTGGAGAGGAAAACTCCCTTTAACAGGAAGAAACCTCCAGCAGAACCAGACTCGATGTGGGCGGCCATCTGCTGAGGCAGAAGCAGACATGGAAAAAAAAGCAGATATACAAAAGGTAGCTGTTAACTAGCGCCACAGGTGGCCCCGCCCAGGAAAGACAGACAGGCAGACGAGCTCCGAGCCAATTTCCATGTCAGAGGATGAAAGAGAGCACAAACGGTTAGCTATGCTACAATAAACAGGATTGCACTGAAAAACAAGCCAAACTCCAACATCTATAAACTAAGCCGTTGATGGCAGGAGCACAGCTGATATTTATTTCCAGGATGGTTCACAGCCAAATGGGAACAGACCAGATGAAGCTACGATGATGGAAATAGCATAGAGAACATAAAGTTATGAGAGAATGATAGATAGAATAAAGCAGAATGATAGAAAGTGGTCCCCATATCATCCAGCAGTCTAAGCCTAAAGTAGCAAGCTAGGAATAGCTCTGGATATCCTGAGCCACTCTAACTATAAGTTTTTTCAAAAAGGAAAGTTCTGAGCATGACCTTAAGAGTAGACAGGGTGTCTGCCTCACAGACAAAAAACTGGTAGTTGGTTCCATAGGAGAAGATGTTGATAATTAAAAGATCTGCCTCCCATTCTACTTTTAGAAATTCTAGGAACCACTTGTATACTGGCATCAACATCTGTCTTGGAAACTAACCAGTTTTCAAATTTGTTGCACTTAAAATTTTAAACCATTGAAATTTGATTTTCAAAACATAAATATATGATTTAATTCAAATTATTCCATTATTCTTTCCACTTTATATTCAGATTACTCTGCTCAGGGTAATAGGTGGCTGGACACTACTCTCCATAAAGATAGAGGTGGTGAAGATCCAAGCTTGAGAGCCAAACCATCACAGGGCCTAGTTTAACTAATCAGTAGGGTAACTTACAAATGTTTCCACAGCCCTTGGTGTCATGGTTTTTCATGTTAAAACCACAAACGTCTTTTTTTTTTTTTCGAATGCAAAGACAGTATTGGTTAACAGATGGAGAATTTTAAATGCATTTGGAAAACTTACCAAAAATTGAACTATATTGGTAAGAAAACTAATGCTGGGCTAAATCCTGAACACACAAAAGAGGCATGGTGGTGGCAGCATTGTGCTGTGGGGATACTTTTCCTTCAACAGAGACATGGAAGTTTGTCGAAAGAATGGAGCTAAATTACAATCCAGGATGAAGCATGTTACAGCCTTTGGCTCAACTTGGAAATTGAGTGCAGAGCTATTTGTGTGCAAATAAATGCACCCCACACTATTAAGATTTTTACTTTTGAAAAACATTAATATAGACCCATGCTTTACCTTCCACTTCATAGTTTTGCACTAAGATGTTCGTCTCATACAATCTCAGTAAAACACATTGGGGTTTGCTGTTGCGACCAAATGTGAAATCATGGAAAGAGCTGCTATGGAGTGTACGCAATTCACAATTACCAAACGTATAAGCTTAAAGCAAACACTTTATTTTTTTTAATCAATGCTTGCCTGTTTTTCTGTGCTTAAGGAAGCCATTTCCTCAACACATTGATTGTGATCTACCATAGCACTGGTTAATTTGCTGCTGTTTTTACAGCAGAATGGTGAGTTTTTTTTGTGGGGTTGCTCCGTCCTGTGACTGAGACGTACATTATCTTCTCAGCCTTTGGGTGTGTTCACTGCCACCATGCTTTGTTGCTCACACTGAAAGGTAATGATGACCGAGGGGACTGGGACTTTGCTCTGCCTGCCATCCATATCAGGCAAGCTGATTTGAAATGAGACACATCTCACATTGTTCTCTTTTGCCTCTCTGTCTGATTAGAGACTGTGAATGATTCATCAACAAGAAACAAGGAAAGCCTGTTTCCCTAATAGAAAAAGAAGCATCCCTCCACTAGGTGGCAATCTAAAACTGTTTCTTCTGGGCATTAGTTGAGTCCTAAAGATTGATGCCTGGGCCATGTTACTGACAGATGCTTGCTTTTTCTTGGCCTTGTCTTTTTTTGTCCTGTGCCATGCCCTTGATGTAACCCTCAGTTTTGACTGATTGCTTTGGGGATTGTTTTGTCCAGCTTATGTTTTGTCATCCAGTGCCAGTCTGTTGCAGACAGATGACAGTCTTCACCAACAGGAGTTCTTGCTGTATTGATGCTAAGTCTGGTTCTAATGGATGTCTCATCTATTAAAGGGACTAAATCAAAGAGATTAGTCATTTTATCAATACCAATATACTGAATTAAAGTTTATGGATTTTAACTTTATTACAGTCTTATCATTTTGTAAGGCCTTACTGGAATACATTGCTGTACATTTGATTAAAACGGGTTTGCCTGTTGTTGAATTAACTTTATGAGATTATGGTTAAATTATCTTAAACTCATCAGATTTTTCTTGTCCTCTGCTGATGGCCTTGGGATGACTTTGGTTGATAATAGGAGCTACAAGAATAAAAAAACTATGCCAGTCAGAAATCATTACCTACTGAACTTTGAATTTCGGTCCCTTATGAAAGACATCACATAGTCCGACTGTCCTTTATAGCCTTTAAATCTAGTGGCTTTCAAATTATGGAGGTTAGATTCCTGTGGTCTGTCATTAAACATCAAGTTATGGGTTTTGATGATCTTTTGAAATTCATTTGAATCTAACAAATTATTGCTAATACCATGTTTTTAATGTTACGATGAGTAGAAAACAATTCTCTGTGGCCACAAATCCCTGCTGTGTTTGTTATTTTTCATATGTTTTTTTAAAATATTATTTAGAGAATATTTAAATCTGAAACTCTTTGTTCAAAATCATAAAATATGAACAATTTTAGTGTGCAAATGTGATGTTTCCCCCCAAATCTGATGTGTAAAACCAATAGACACACATTCGCTCAGATATTTATATGCATGCAGTACTGTGTGATAGCTTGTTCTGAACATTTCACTTTGGTATTTCAATGTGTACATCTGGGGAAAAGGGAAAAACATATTTTTGTTTTTCTCATAGTAAATAGCCTGGTCATTCAGCAGATCAATATTTTTTTATTGTTATTATTTAAAGAAATAATAATATATATATATATTTTTTTTTAAGTTAAACTCTTCTGCTTAATTTTCAGTTACTAAGGGATATTCCTATCAAAAAAAAAAAAATCAGATTATATCAGCCTGCTCCTAAAATCTCCAATATTGACATGCTGATAAAAACCCAATGCTTCGTCTAAAGGTTAGGTAACCTACTGGTTTATTTAAAAAAATTGGGTGTGTTCTCATACATATTGTTGGGTACTATTGTTCTCAGTTGGAGTAATATCAATTGATCAACATTTTTCTACAATTCCACACTGCAAAATAAATATGAAAGTATTATGATTTATGCGTGCAGGTGATAGCCTTTATCAGGATAAATTTGTGATGTAAAATACAGAAACCGAAGATAAACATTGTATGTTTTGCAAACATAACCCCATGATAATGAATAATTTCAGTTCAAGTTAACAGTTTTAAATGGGGGACTGTGGTTTTGTCTTTGGTTTCCTTTTAGATTTTTACATATTGGCTTTATGATGTTTTTTTGTTGCAAAATTATTAATAAAACATTTCAAAAAATTTGTTAAATGAGCTGCCCTCAATTCTCAAATGCTTTCAGATTTTAGCACCTTAAATATATAGAACAAAGGTGCTGCATATTTGACTCCGCTGGCATTTTTCCCTCATTTCTTGATCTCTGCTCTGTCTTGGCCTTGTCATTTCTGTCTAATGTAAGTGAAAAAGATTCCAATCAAATCAATCAGAGAAAGAAGTCAGATTTTTCCTCACACTAAACTAGAAAACCAAAAGACTTTCCTAGTGTTTAACATCCACTCTGGCTCTTCTGGTTTCCAAAATTGAGGAGCGATGAAGGGGAGCTGTCCATTGTGCCGTGGCATCACAAATCCACAATAGATTAACAAATTGAGCATTTCTAGTCAATAGAAAGGCTTTTGTTGGCCATGGAATGGAGGACACGAGGCTAAAGGAAAATGTGGCTTTGTTCGAAAACCTGGGCTGCATCCTCCAAGGACGCGGTCTACCTAGACTGGATCCTTCGAAGTCCTTGAGGAGACCGGAAGAGTTTAGCTGTGAAATCGAACAGGTCTACCCTTCGGCGGTGTTTTGCCGCCGTAAGCTCTGTTGTTTAGCAACCGTGAAAGTTG